TATATATATATATATATATATATATATATATATATATATATATATATATATATATATATATATACATATTATATATTTAATATACCACGCATATGTATATATACTATATAATATAATATACTATATTATATAATATAAAATATTATATCACTTGTCATGCACCTGCATAGAGACACCAAGGACTGTACAAGCCAGCCAAGCAAAGCAACACGAACAACAATCTAACTTTTCATCTCTAGTAAACAGTACACTTCAAATACAACAAAGTCCCCTTAGACCTGCATATACACTGCAAGTACCTGCATTATGTAGTTTTCGGCGGCAACCGCATTTTGCGGTTTAACCAGGTGGATTCGCGCGACTGCAAACAGAGAAGAAAAAGGAAATACATCGGTTTAACTCTGCTTTATCCCGCACAGAAGCTCTTGCGGATGGTCCTGAGCCTCAACAGCCTCCAACTAAACACTTCGTGACTGCATTGCCCTTTTCTGTTTGTCATGCCCATATGTTTTCCTCCCCTTTTGCTGCAAGGCCCCCTGCATGTGTGTTTCCCTCTATACAGCTTTCTTCCCTTCCCTCCCTCTTATGTCTATATCTTGTCGTTGCATACACAGCTGTAAACCGTGAACCCTAAACCCCATTACTTACGGCGTTCTTGCGCCTCGGGCGATAGCAGAGATTTCATCGCAATCCTTCTCTGTTCCTCGATTGCCCTGAGAACCAAATCAAGCCCTAAACCTTAAACCCTACAGAATGAACTGCTAACGTGTCAGGGCTTGCGTTAACCAGGTGCAGGTTGAAAAGCAGTGCGGACCCACTTGCGCTTCTCCTCTTGCTGCTGCTGCTGCTGCATCTGCTGCTGCAGCTGCTTCTGAACGCTTGCATCCGCCGGGTCCATTATTCCCGTTGTTCCTGTTGCTGCTGCTGTTGCTGAAGTCGGCTTTAAGTCGCTGCACCCTCAAGCAGTTGTCGCGCGTCGGTTGCTGGTTGGCTGCCACTGCGGCGTCCCGGCGGCTCTGAAGGTCGGTTAGAAACGAATGTCTCCTTTTCAAATATGGGGAGCATAAACAAGAATGAATTCAAACCGTTTGACAGGGAAATACTGTAGACATTGCGCACTCTCCAGCCGTTAAGCGACACTGCGGATGGGGGCGCCACTGTAACCTTCTCCTCTTCCCTCTTACTTATAACGTTGCATCGAGCTAAACAATGAAACAAAAACACAGCAGATTAAACAATAACCCCTCACACAAAATATATACGAATGCTCCGCTTCCTTGGGGGCCCGTAGGCACGTGGCAGGCGGGGGCCCCTTGGTCACGTTGCCAGCTGCTCCAGCAGGAGCTTTAACTCCACACATGCACTGAAACAACTTTTGGGTTAAATTTCATTGTCAAAATGAACATACGATCGAAATGAATGCAACCAACACCCCCCATAACGCCTCCGCCTTCTTGGTTTATTTTTAGGTGTCTGCACACAGCAACAGCACCGCTTTTTTTTGGAAGCATGGGAGGCCCCATTTCACTACTGCCCTTTTGGGCTTTTCTCCTCCTCTCTTTTGTTACGTCGACACGTGGTCCTTACGTAGGCGCCCTCGCAGACGGGACCTTGGGAGGGCCCCTTGGGGGCCCACCAGGTGAGGCCCCTGTTGAAATTGCTTATGAGGCAGCAACGACGCCGGAAGAAGATGTATCGGGACCTTTGCATGCATCTCAGGGTCATCAATGGTGCAGAGCACTGGATCTACACAGTGACAATGGCGCCTGCAGCACCATCAGTAGTAGCAGTGGCAGCAACAGCGTGCTGCCGCAGAGCCTGGACGACGGGTGTTTTGGGTTAGTGCTTCTGTTGCTGCTTCTAGCAGCAGTAGACCAGATTGAAGGGATGCTACGAAGGGTTTGGGGCCCCTTATCTTCTGTGGTCAAACGCGCACGGTGCAGCAGCAGCAGCAACGACAACAGCAGCAGTAACAGGTTTGCTGCTGCTGCGGAGACGGAGGAGGGGAAAAAGTTGCTGGGCGAGCTGGTCTCTCTGCAACAGGAGCTCCAGAAGCAGCAGATGGAACAGCAACAGCTGTCTGCTACGGCGGAATTTGCTGCATACGCTCGAAAGCAGCGCAAAATAGACCAACTTATTGCTTCCCGAGATGCGTGCATTCAGCAGCTGCAGCAACTGCAGGATCGACAGAAGCCGCAGCAGCAGCCCACCAAGAACTACATGCTCCTGCAAGCTGCCACTCAACTGCTTCTCAAGCCCCTCGCAAAGCGCCATGGCTTCGGTCTCGCCAAGGTAACTAGTAGCAGTACGAGCGTGACGAGCCACGGCACACACACAGAGAGCAGCAGTGGAAGCAGCCACACAAATATCCACGGCAGCGCCAGTAGGAGCAACAGTTACAGCAGCTACGGCGACAGCAGCAATTAAGATTTGGTGCATGAAGTTTTTCGTGTCTTCTCTACAGCCGTTGGTTTGCTGGGTCTTATTCACTGCAATGGGAGCTCAAGTTATCCTGCCGACCGCACAGCTTACCCCTCTCAATCGTAACCCCAAACCGGAAACCCTACACACTAGGCCCTAAAGTCTCATCTTAAACTCAATTCCCTGGCTCCTTAGTCTTAATTTGAATCAGCTCCTTTTGATTTGCTTGCTGTAGAGTCTAATTTGTAGGCCTTACCTTGCGTTGTTGGGTTTAGAGCTGAAGGTTTACTGGCTAGGGTTTTTTTGTTTGTGCAGTGCTGGGGCCTCGCTGTCACGTCGTCTTTCCGTTTGCCCTTCTGATGTGTCGCCTTTTTCTAAACGAGGTCTACAGACACTTCGGTTTCCTCAACTGCCAGAACGGTGCCAGAAGCACTTTAAAGGAAGACTGAAACAGTTGTTCCCGCAGCTGCAGCAAGAGCAGCAGCAGCAGCAATAGATGCAGCAGTAGCACCGCCAGAGCTTGAGCTGCTGCAGCAACGACACTTGATGCCGGCTGGACAGACTTGGCTAACAACAGCAGCTGCAGGAGCAGCAGCAGTTGCGGCAGCAAAGTCTAACCTAAAGCCTTTATGGGAACGGACTGGCCTATATGGTAAGGGTTCTGAGCCCAAGCGCCAGTTTGTATCCGTCGTGAAACCGCAAACCCTAAACAGGAAATGACTAATTCGAGTAGGACTTTGGGGATGTATACATATCAGAGGGGTTTTGCAGATAAACACGCAGCAGAAACGGGATCCGAACGAGCGGCAGCAGCAACAGCAGCAGTCGCGCACAACATAGCATGCGGGTACCACTGTTGCTGCTGCCGCTATCGCTTCACCACTGGTGCCAGCGGTATTCCAGAGAGGCTTTACAAGGATCACTGCATCGTTCCTGTGGGATGGGATTTACGCACATCTTGAAGATACAGATAGCAAGGTTGTCGCCTGAGGATCTGTCGTGAATGGGTGCAAGCGGTAACGCGACCCATCATGAAGAGTTGCATGCATCATCGTCTGTGTGTATACTTGTTAGCGGGGACCGCGTAAATGCTGGGCAATTGCCTCGCCCCATCCCCCCCCCCNCCCCCCCCCCTTCGCCCCCATTTAACCAACTCTAGGATCCTATGCCACAGGACCGTTGTCAAATGGGGGAAGCCCAGCACTTATTGTAGAACTAGCCAGGGCATTGATCCTCCTGCACCTCATGATGGTCCTAGGCTAAGGCCGAGGACTCTTGCTACACTTCGTAGTACTCACTCCGCTGCCAAGTGCATGAGCTAGAGCACTGTTTAGTCTTGAGGCAATTGTAGGTACATAGCATATCAACACATACAAAATAATAATCTGCGACGACAGCTCTGTCGAAGTTTTAGTTGACTCCCCCCCGTAAACAAGGAAATTTATTAGTTCTTCGTGTATGACATTGCGGCCGCCTATGGCTGTGTCCCTTGTCTCCCTGGGGTGAGAGAGGTATCAGCAATCCATCGAGCAAATAGTATCCTCACTGCAGAAATAATTGTTGGAGAATGTATTAACCAGTACAGACCGACCAAATATGACACCTGCCGGGGTAGGGAGGCAGTGAAGCAATTGAATTCCTAACTTCTTTGCAGGTGTACTTTTTGTCTACCTGCTGCACTCTGAAGAGTTAAAGGTGCTTGTGGCATCTTTTTTATTAGGTGGGAAAGCAGGATGATGGTGGCCTAACATCAACAACTGCTCTTCCCCTCCTACGGGGATCAGGGTTTAGGGAGCTTTCCCAGATGCACTACAGGGCTGGTTCGCGCCCAGGGGATGCAGACGAAGGCCGAATGGCAGATTCACGAAAAAGTGGAAGGTACCGATGGAGCAGTACACTGTGAAGTCCCAGCACTTGGCAAGCATAAATTCACGGTGAATTTGTACGTTCATCTCAGTGTTTATCCTCAGAACTGCCCCCGTGGGGAGAAATAGGGCATGACCGGTGAAGCAGCGAAATTCGCAAACGTTATGGAACAAATAGTGTCTACGCATCAAAAGGGGAAAGGGAGCCACTCGTACTAACCTGTAAGACAACAAGCTTGAACATGGTCAGGACACAGAACACATGGATACTGGGTCTGTGGACGCAGCATTGTCCAAGAAAATAAGCGAAGGTACTGCAGGCGCAGCAGCAAACGGCTTCGGCACACAGGAAGCTGGGGGGACGCTCAGACCGGAACACCTGCTTCTCTTGCCGGAAACCGGAAGAGAACTACCGAAGGGGAGAAGCAAGGAGTGGAGCACCAACGTGCAGGGAACGAAGAAGGATAGAACAATCCTGGACCACACGGAACGTGTGGCGCAGCAGTAGGGCCGGAAGAGTGACATGCGCGAAAGCTCATTCCCCTCAGAATAGCCCTGTGTTAATTCAAGTTCGCGTTTACTTTCAGAAGCTGCTAACTCGGCTTGACAGGGTGACATCTGTATCTGCTCTGTGAAGCCAAGGCAGTTGACTACAACACATCTGACTTTTCATTGGCGCAGCCCCTGCAGCCCCCCTATGGTAGTGACAGTCAGGACAATAGGGTCGATAAGCCCATCCTAGAAAGCGGACTTAGTTCAACAGTTGCCCAAGCTATCCCCAGCTGCTTCTTAATGCCTCTTCAACCTGCCAACTATCAGCGAACACTGTTTCAGAGAAAAACCCTTGATTTGTAAAGCCGCCTTCATACTTTGTACGGGCTTCCCGGTGAATACAAGGGCCTGTTGTGGGGGGTGAGGCCCCCGAGCAGTGACCCAGCCAGAGGCAGCGACGCCCGGACCACGCAAGCAGAACGACAGAATAATTCCCATTAGTGCGCAACTCCCCATAACTCTGGCAGGTGCCTTGCTTGCTACAGCGCAGCATCAACTGGAGGGTCATTGAATATCCTGCTGCCCGGAACGCTGCTAAAGCTGCAGCAGCAGCGTAGTGTTGCCGCTGCTGCAGCGTGTTGCTGGCGCGATTACAGCATGCTGTTCCGGTTGCGGCTAGCACAGCATCAGCAGGCTGCTGCTGGCGAAGCTGATGCTGCAGCTGCAAGGGGGTCACTGCGCAGCCTTAGCGTCTATGATCCTGCCAGCAAGCAGCACGAGTGAGTGCGAATTTGTTGTATCTTTGACTCGGACTTGAAAGAGGAAGGGCCTGTTGATATTGAAGTCTATTTCACGCGGTTGAAGGAATGCAGAAGCGCCAACGATTAGCATAGCAGTGGCAGCTGCCGCCTCTGTGCCCTCTTCATTCCACCTGAAGTCTGCCTGGTGAAGAAACGAA